AGAAACACAGAATAGAATAGAATAGAAATACAGAATAGAATAGAATAGAATAGAATAGAATAGAATAGAATAGAATAGAATAGAATAGAATAGAATAGAATAGAATAGAAATATAGAATAGAATAGAATAGAATAGAATAGAATAGAAACACAGAATAGAATAGAATAGAAATACAGAATAGAATAGAATAGAATAGAATAGAATAGAATAGAATAGAATAGAATAGAATAGAATAGAATAGAGAAAAATAGAATGGAGTGGAATGGAATGGAATGGAAAGGAAAGAAAAGGAAAAAGAAAAGAAAAGAAAAAAGAAAAGAGAAAAGAACTGGAAGGGACCTCCAAGGTCTTCTAGTCCATCCCCCTGCTCAAGCAGGAAACCTTACACAATTTCAAACAAGCGGCTTTCCAATCTTTTCTTAAAGACCTCGCAGTGATGGAGCACCCTCAATGTTTGGTGGCAAGGAGTTACCCTGGCTAATTGTTCTCACTGTCAGGAAGTTTCTCCTTAGTTCCAGGTTGCTTCTCTCCTCGATGACTTTCCACAACGTTGCTTCTTATTTTGTCTTCTGGTGCTTTTTCCTTCTTCTCTGTGTCATCTCTGAGGTCTCCTCCTTCAGCTGAGGTTGGAGATCCTCCAGGCAACTCATATAGATGGTCGTCCAAATTTGGTTTGGAAAAATCTTCCAGGATGGGAACCAGATGACACCAGGAGAGAGCGAGAGAGAGGCTGTTCCATTGCTTTCTATATCCTCTGGTCAAAATAAATCTCTTTTTTATTTTGAGTTCCCTTTGTATAGCTGCACACACACACACACACACACACACACGCACACACTGTTCATGTCCTACCTTTGGGCACTACACAAAATAACTCCACAGTCTCTTCTCTGCGGCAGCTCTTCAAGCCATTTGGAAGAAGCTATCAAGTTCCCACTCAGCCTTCGCTTCTTCAGGCTGAAATTACTCACCTCTTTTAACCATTCTTCTGAAGAATGTAGCCTTCCAACTTCCTGGCCCGTTCTGTGGGACGTTTGTCTACGCACATCCAGGCTATTGAATGTGTGTGCCCACGCGCATAAGTAGCGAGCAACAATCTTCATTAATACAATCGCTCTCCAAGGCCTCTTGCAGAATCCTTCTAGCATGCTGACTTTTGATTTATTTTATTTTTTTTGGGCCCCGCTTAAGGCCTCTCAGACATCTCGAGATATTGCTTTTATTTAACAAGAACGCAAGTGTTTTCTCAGCAAAGGGAGATAAGTGGGGAAACGTGTGTCGAAATGCCCAAGTTGTACAGTTATGTATAAAAATGTAATTTGTCGCAAATGTTCCCCTATAATACGATTGGTGCCAAATGACTTTGATTCTCCTAACAGTACGTATTCCAGAGGAGGGGGCTATTTCTAGCACATCTCCCCCGTGGCTTCCTTAGCAAGTGGGGTGGATCTATCTATCCATCTACCTATCCATCCACCCATCTATCTATCTACCTATCTATCCATCCATCTATCCATCCATCTACCTATCTATCTATCCTCTATCAATCCATCTATCTATCCATCCATCTATCCATCCATTTACCTATCTATCCATCTATCTATCCATCTCTCTATTCATCTATCCATCCATCCATCTACCTATCTATCCATCCATCTATCTACTTATCTATCTATCCATCTACCTATCCATCCACCCATCTATCCATCCAACCATCCATCTATCTATCTATCTATCTATCTATCTATCTATCTATCTATCTATC